ATGTCTATGTATATTTTAAACTTTTAAACTATGCTATATAAACTAAGATACAATTTAATTCAGTTAGGATTTAGCAGTGGTAGCTTGTGTAAGAATGATTTGGACTGCCTCTTGGTAAGAGCCTTAATATTCTCGATCACACAGGACGTACCTCTAGCTGTTCTTTATTGAATAATTTTCACTAGAAGTACTAAGTGATCATGACCACATGTCTAATTTGTAGATAAATATAAGAACGGAAGTCAAGTTAATACATTAGCTAATATAAATAAAGTTCCATCTGAAGAAAAGCTATATAAAAAATAAAAAGACTTATTGCATTTTGGAGATTGGCGGGAAGACCAAAACCTGTAAGTAGTAGTTCAGAGATTATAAAATTTGGTTTATAGAATACTATATCTACTATCGTTTCAAATAGGCCCAAGTAAATGAGTCATACCAAATACTCAGGTTATTGGAGCCATCAAAGTGAATGTAGAACACTTTGGAAATATTGGAAAAAGAACTTGTATTAATATTGCCCGCCTTAGCGGAACCAAACCACTTTCCTACTTTCCATGGTCCCTGACTTCTTCTGGCTAGGCGTGGGCCTCAACCGAACTCCTGGCTGCCGTGCTTCCATAAAGTGTAACTCCAGTCCTGTCTCACATTAACACGACCCCGGCGCCCTGCTACTGCACGGAATGCAACGTTACCGTTACCAGCATATGCGGTGATAGACGCCCCCTCTGACGTCACCAACCCCATCAATATGAAACAGACACTACTCGACGTAGCCAAGCCAGCAGCTTCTATGAACACACTGATGGACACAACGATGAACACCATGGAAGCAACCCCCGCATCCAACACCGCTATGAACCTTGATGAGTATGCGCCCATGTCACACAGAGAGCCTGAAAAGTTCCAGCTTTGTGGATGCAGATATCGACGATGACGACGATCAAGTGGCCATTACCCCGATCATATTCAGCTTATCACTCTCCTCACTGGACGCCACAACTACCCCCGTCACCGAGCTTCCTACTCGAACACAGCTAGCCACTTTCTCGTTCGAAGCCCTGTCAAATGTCGCCATCAACGAAGATAACAATGAGACAAGTCTCTATCCGACGGTATACACGCTAGATGTCTCACACCAGGTAGCTTTGGGATACGAGGATGACGCCCACAGCATGGGTACCCTCGATGGACCTCCCGAACTTTAGCTAGCCCTAGATACGCCCAAGTAATGGCCATCCCAACCTCTACCACTACTTGGCATCCTATACACGGTGTTCCAAGCACCGCACATGGACGCGTCCATCCGCAACAGGCGTTCGAATACAGCTCGCCTACGGTCTCCTGTCGCTGAAGCTTCAGTCTTCAACTGCTCGAGAACCTTCAGCTCACCTGCATGGATCAGCCGGCAGGATCAGAAAAGATCTTGGAGATCATCTAGATTTGGCACGACGAGCTCAGTCACCTGCTTGCTGACCGTCTCCAGGCACTGGCCCACCAAAAGTGCAACTGGTCAATATTCATTGCTGTACTTCACACAATCATCGACACCTACAGTGTTTGACCACTCACGGGCTACACATGTGGCCTACTTCAATAGTCCACCTACCCCACAACCATATCCGAAGAATATCGCACGCCGTTGGCAAACCACTCAAATCAGCAGATATGCTCGCCTCATACTTGATCCCTCGTACCTCGCGGCCAAGTCCGTACCTATGTCGTCGATAGAGGAAACACCTTAATCAGCGATATCGCATGCACTCCGTGTCCGCAGCCGAACATGGCGGTAGTGGCCACATTGAGCAACTTGTCCGCACAGCACACAACTCCCTCCAACGATCCCTAACGCCCGGTGAACATCACCTCTGGCGCCATGAACTTCCGCGTTTCATCATACGCCGCCACCATTCAAAACTCTCCTTACACACTGAAGACTGGACGTGTGTACTCGCATGCTACGGATGGGATTGCGGAAGGAACCCTGGACTCAGCTCTTGGCTGCCCACAAATAACAGTTTCCCTACGCCCGGACGCTTTTTCTCGAGACCTCGATGCGGCACGGGTTGTCAACAACGCTCACGTACATTCCAGAAGCAGTATGCAGATAAATATCGCATCAGTGCACCTACAATGGAAATTGGCAGCGAAGTTCTATACATACCGATTCAACAAACAACCCCCATAATAGCGAAGAATTGGCATTTGTTGATGCCGGTTCTCATAGGTCTTGATAACCGGAAGACAACATGTGTATATGGACGGCTGTAAAACAGGCTCAGGTGGAGAAAATTCGTGCAGTCATGCCGCGCATGTTCTTTAGCGACGCCCTTTGGGACTCCGCCGGACGTGGCCTCCCAACTGAGGCCAGTGCCTCCTACACATACACGTATATGAGGGTCTTGGCCCACTATTCCACTATACGGTCAAATCTCTCCGATCATACCGTAGCTCGGTTTGCCTTATCATCGCATACGTCACCTTAAAATGCTATTTCCGGATTCTCTGCACTTCATTCATAGTTTTCCACTATGAACATATTTATTCCGCATTATATACATATACGTCCATACAATTGCAGCAAGTAGCATATAGTGTAGTGGCATCACGCACACTATACTATTCAAAGTAAACATGACTTTCCTGGTCTGTAGTCGTGCCCACAAGTTTGGATCACGTTGTTTATTTTTTTTCGTCTGTAAATACTTCGATTGTCACTCCTCAAAGAAAATACAACGAGCAGACACTTTTGTAATTATTTTAAAATTCGTTTCACGGTGAACGAGTTTGAACAACGCCGCTACACACTAAAAATACTTTGTGCTCATTACTGACGCTGGATTACTGAACGCCTGAGGCTGATATGAAGCTTGCGAGAACGCATTAGGGTTCACCATTCTTGCATCAATATAAATAAACAAACCACCCCGTGTTTTCCTCCATTCGCTTCAGAGTTATAAGGATCTGCACAAGATGTGATGATGTATACTAGAAATGAGTTCATTGAATGAGCATAGCGATTGCAATCACATTTTCTTGTTGACTATCTGTACATTTTGTTTAGCCAATTAACTTTTAGCGATTCCTAGCAAATATTTTGTTTGTACTTATGGGAACCGATTTTACAGTATACTGCAAACATCTGCTGCGCGCAAAAAAAAAAAACTGGTTTACTTACCAAAATGTATCTTGACATCGCCATAAACGCTTCAACTAGTGCTGTCTATTTTTTTCAACTGGTGTAACTTGCCTTAGGTGCTTTTAAGTGGCAAGTTGGTAATATAGGTAGGTATGAGTATGCATATAGAACGTGGGATTTGATACTCCGTGTTGAATCATTTTACAACTTGCATGTGCAGATTCTCTTTCTGCTCGGAATCACCAGCAAAGGCAATTTGATGCTTCTGAAGGACATACAGTTTGTTGTGTTGCCGCACATGATACTGTCATACATTCTCTTCACTTCTTCGTCCCCCTCTTGCTGAGATATTTAGTTTTGTTGGCGTTGTATTTTGGGCTAGTGTCACAATTGTTCCCTGTTAGATATAATAAATATTTTGTCGCTAGCTATAACCATTTTATGGGCAGTTAAATACAGAGAACGGATTTAAAACAATTGAGACACGATGTCTTTATCAATTTTCTTCTAGCATATCAAAGTTCATTGTATTCAGAACTATCACAACTAGAACAATCACCACAACTGTAGTCAAACAAATATGCTTGGTTGTATGAGCTGTCTTGAAAAGGCATCTGTTAGAATAAAAGACGTCCATATCCTTCGATATTGCAATGCGGATATGTTTGTTGACGATTTTATTGTTCGCTTTGGTCGCAAGTGACGTTATGAACATTTCATCACAGCTGGAAGGCAAAGAGCTATACGAGATATATGCTAGACTAACAGGTGACGTAATATTTTGAGAGACTTTGTCAGCGAACCTGTGGTCGACGGTACATGCCACGGACAAAATCGACCCATGTGACAATCACCGTTGGAGATGGCAAGCAATATTTTGATAAGGATTTTCCGTTGGTATGAAGATCTACCAGCTTCAAATAGTTAATGTGTAACGGCCGCTCACTAATCCCTCTTCTTTGTTCAATTGTCTACTTTGCCCTGGGACTATTGACTGTTTAGCAACACTAGGTGGCTTCTGTGAAATAAAAAAGTCGCGCGGAAGGACTTTCTTAGTTAATGTGAAACGGCCGCTTACTAATCCCTCTTCTTTGTTCAATTGTCTACTTTGCCCTGGGGCTATTGACTGTTTAGCAACACTAGGTGGTTTCTGTGAAATAAAAAAGTCGCGCGGAAGGACTTTCTGACTATGTAACAACATTTCATAGTTAAATTTTGAAATATACACTCGATGATTGGTGGCAACACAGAAAGTCTAACTTTGAAAGCCATTTCTATACCTAATATGTACTGCAGAATTCTGGTACGGCGACAGCAACTGTTAGATATAAAAGCAAGTGCGGCTGTGGTGACTCTGGTGACACTGACTAAATGTTGTAGCGAGCCTATAATGGTCACTATTCCGACAGGGGATCGAACTTAACAACCATGACTATGCTCAGGGCTATCATGGACACTATATTTATCTTAGTAAATCGATATTTCCTTCATGGATTATTTATTAATAAAGTATAAGTACTTAATAAAGTATAGGTACTCCAGTCTACGTACTTGGTAAAAGTATATCTACACAATTATACTCACCACAAGAGGTTGGGTAAAATAAGGGGTCTGTTGTATATTGGTTGTATAAGGGGGACAAAACGAATTGCGTGTCGAAGTTACTCGTGAAAAACATCCCAACGGACCCTGAAGACTTACGAAAATTGCCTTGTGTACCTAAAAATGTTTATGGTTTTCATACCACTGAAGTACTGTACGAATCTTACTGTACGAATCTTAATGGGAAAGTGTTCACTTACTCTCATATAAAGACTACAGTTGCAACTTAAACCGATCGAGAAAATAAGGAACTGCACCCAATACGTGTCGAGTAATGTACCCAATCCGAATACGCTTTGATGGGCTTCAGTCTGTCTACTCTTTCATTGGTGCGGATTGGAATTGAGTAGACGATGTCGCATATAAGGCCATTATTTTTGTCGTTTACTGAAACTTTGGCATTGAACTCATTTAAGCTAGTCTGGCATCAGTTAAAAGGAACGTATGAGATGTGTTTACCATCATGTATACACTGATTCAATAAAAAAAGGACTATGATGTTATGACGAACGACCTCAGGTCAATAGAAACATTTGAACACGGTCTATACTTGGTAACTTTTTTGAGCTAAGAACACAGCTGTTCTGACCGAAAGTAGAACGCGAGGCCGTCTGAGCCTGGAATGACGTCGATAGCAAACAAAATCGTCAGATTTGGCAACGATCAGAATAAATTATCTGAACTTTCCACCTTCAGGGATACTACACACAGTTGGAATGTGGTAGATTGCTAACAGATGTCTAGGACTGGATCATAACACAGTCGTTAAATTTATTTTTTGTTACAATGGGTGCCATGTTTTAGATTGTTACACATGAAAATGAAATTCACCCTCATCAGCCAAAAAGAGAGACAGGGTTCATACATGTGCTGTAGCATCAACGTTAAAGATATCACCTTTGACTATTCACTTTGGATTTGCTCTTCGCACAAGCCGCAAATACTACAACACAAAACGAGATAAAATCGGTAGCCACGGGTTTATATTAATTGCCAATGAAATGAGTATACCGTATCAAGAACTGTACAAACTAATTAAAGCAGAAAACGAAGTTCCCACAGGCGTACGACGATGATCGAGACCAATAAATATAGTTATCATCGTCTTTTAGAGAGTGATCCAGTATGTCTTTATGATAGGTTTATAGACAAATACTAAATGAAGGGTTCGATATAAACGAATACACATCAGTGACAAAACAGAATATACAACAGAGAACGATAGTAAAATTCTACGTGATCTGGATATCGGTAGATCATTCCGGTTTTAACGCAGCTAGATTCTTTATGAAATGGAAAAAATCAAGAGGAAAAAATCTTGTTAAAATTCGTAACAAGTTGATCGGACTGTTGCAACTGGCATAGAGAACCGTTAAAAATTTATGGCTAAAAATTGCACAGTACAGTTCGAGTTCTTAGTACAGAACAAATACCTGACAGGTTAGACAGCGTACGAATGCCCGTATAGCGGATGCCGGTAGAGCATAGTAAGCTATCGGAAGTTCTAAAATGGATCAGAGAACGCAACTCAGATACTCGAAATTCACAGCTCGTAGCATGGCCAACTGAAAAAACAATCAGTTGGCCATGCTCGTAGCGAGCTATATGGTGGTGAAAAAACATGAATTCAAGCGGGAATACATAGGTAGAAAATTGCTGACTGACTATGTTGAACCCTGCAAACGGTGATTTAAGAGAGACCTGAAAAAATGATACTGAAGAACCCGACATGCCCTATCACAGTGTTTCCTTATAAGTATGCCAATGATTTCAGGACGAATGACGCAGCATACAATCGTGATGACATCACAGAAGTTGTCTCGCTCACCGGAGCAATAACACCTGCAAAATAAGTGTCGATCTCACACAGCTACCACCATCACACTATTCTTTAACTTGACAAAGAGTTTCAGGCATGAGACAGAGTTTCCACCCCTAAAACTTGATTTCGCTCGGAGCACCGAACCTGTTCGGTCGGACCGGTGCATTCGGACTTTATGGGAATATCAGCCGTCATACACAAAACGAAGCTGGTGACAGCTGGTTTACCACGATCTTTGACCTGCGACTCAAGGCACATTTCGAGGACCTACATGCAAGCCTGTTAGACTTGACCTTTTTAAAACTAAATTAATCAACCTCACACCGAATACAATTTCATATCAAACTGCGGTGCTATATCATTAATAAGCTCAAGCGCAATTTAGAACCCAAATATCATGCTGTCCCTCCCTGCGAAATCAAATATCAACAAAAAACAAGAACAAAAAATACATCTGGACGACTCTTAGTAATTTCAGACAATGACTATTCCGACAAAATTTATCACTGAAAACGTGTATCTGTAAGTTTGTTACTTTCATCAAGGCTTCTGCCTGTCATGCTCCTAATCCAATGCAAACGTTTAAGCCATTCTGCCTGTCACGCTCCTAATCCAATGCAAATGTTGAAGCCAAAAGTATACCAATCAGAAACGCTTTCATAATTTGTAAATTTTAGGATTGTGAAACCCTAAATTTTTTTTGTATCCTTCACTATTTCAAAGCTCCCAGTCCCTCACCGTTCCCGCGGCAGGTCTATTGAAATATGCCTTCGTGGTGGATCCGACCTTCAGGATGTTGTGGTATAGCCGATATAACTATCTTAGAGTAATATAAGGTATACATTGAGCCGGAGCGACAAGTGCCAGCTTGGCTGCTCAGCTCAATTGACTGAGAGCGAAAACTACAACATAAGGCTCACTTGACGTCATCGAAGTGCTACTTCTGTTGAATTTTACCTGGTGTACGTTCTCTCCGAAACTAGCGAGCATTGTTTCAAAGATTCTTTGACAGGATTTAAGCATCACAACTAGAAAGAGTACTGGTTGCGTTGATTTGTAGATAGTTTTATGTACTTTTCGAATCGATGATCAAATGAGTTGAGCGTTTCGCAGTCCGTGTAGTCATCTCCCAGTCCAAACAAAGAACAACATTCTTACCTGGAGAAAGGTCATACCAATACACCTTTTCAAATAAGTTTAGAGTAATTGATAAAAGGCAAGGGAGCAGCCAACAATCTTGCGACGTCAATGCAAGTAAATTTAAATAATTCGACAATGCATTGCTGATGCAGGATGTACACGTCATAAATTAATACTGGATATACACGCTGTAGATTCGACGCGGAGTACATAAGTTAATAACCAAAGTAACTTAATATCATAAAGGTCCAGGCTGACTCGCTAGGCAGACACAGTCTGCGCTGTCTCAACCCCATTGGCATACTGGAAGTTACCGGAATTCTCATACTCATACATGTCGAGTGCAACAACACAGCTCTCGGCAACAATCCTCTGTAAAATGAAAATCGAAAAATGTGAGAACATGTTCGAATCATTCCAAAAAAACCTGCAAATCCATTCTGCAAGGTGAAATACCTGGGTTCAGAGGGTTGGGATTGCAAAGAAAACGATGGCCATATGCAAGATCACACTGGTATCTATTGTGCAAACGAGCATAGTTCCAGCAGCACATTCATGGCGCCGTCGCTACAAATCACTAACTTCTCTGGAATAGGCCGACAGTAGTCACAGGCAAATTGGAACTCACCTTATCGTCCTTTTTAAACGCCTCTAGTGTTTTCAATACATCTGGCGATGCCACTGAACCTAATGCTTCTGCGGCCTCGTGTCTAACCATCGGATGTTCAGCTGCATTTTCTAAAACTACGGTAAGAGCAGGCGCACTCACACTGGATTGAATTTGACCCAGAACGTATGCAATTTCATGTCTGAACAACACGCTGGTGGTATCAGCAAAACCCTTACAGATAGCCAGAATGCTGTCATCAGAGCCCTTGTTTCTCAAAGCAAACAGAGCGGTATATCTGTGTATCGACGGATGAAACCAGACAGTACCTACCGTGAGTAATCCCGTACCACATAAAGTGTTGTTTAGACACACTGGACGCGCTGAGCAATATACTACAGGCATTCACGAGATTGAGCATAATCAATTCTCCTCGTGAGGTCTGATTAACGAACAGCATCACATGAAACCAATGCCAATGCAAGCGTATATGGTTGACAGTCTACTTAAATGATAGACTTCAGCAGAACAACACTTCAGCAGAACAACACTTCAGCAGAACAACAGCATACTTCGTTGAGAACACCAAAATTTCCCTCTCACTGAGGACGCCACATGCGAATCTCAATGCGCTCGCATTCAGCCATGTCCGCCCGATCTCACCTCTATATGGTAATCTCTGTACAACCCCTTAGAAACATTCGACCCCCCGGGTCATAAACAAAGCTATTAATAAAAAACGGATTCTTGATCGTTGCCGCAGTAAGTGAGAGCTTCATCAGAGAACACAAGTGAACGATACGTCAACTACAACGCATATAAGGAAATTTGGCTGACTCTCTAAAACACTGAACCAATTACAATTGCTTTAACACAACCATGTCGTTCATATTTAGTACACTATATTAGCCACTATCACAGGTTGATCACACGCACCAATTACATACGTCGCAATTTCATAATTTGACAAAGAGGTATTCAAGACCCGCTGACATATAACACACCGATCGAATAAATCGAGTTCATAATTCATCATCCTCGCCACAAGTTCGTCTACAGGTGCATCATCACACGCAGGTGTAGGATCGACAGAACTATATACAGATGGTAGAGCTTTTGTAAAAAGCTGTAGTGGGAGAGGCGAGTGGGTAATATATATATTGAGACCGAGACCTTACTTGATTACGTAATCATTAGTATTACAGGATGTTCTAAAACTTTTCACAAAACATGTTCATATATACTCCTTCGACTCGAAATGAAGAGACCCAACGGTGATGGTATTTGACAAGCAACATGAAAAAATGACGCAATTAAATTTAAGCAACGGCGAGTGTGTAGGCGACAATATATACGCCTTGAACTCGACATCATCAAGTTCATTGACGAGCTTTGAAATAATTGCGTTAGGCATGAAAAGAGCAACTGTACATTTGAGATACATGACAAAAGTCACCGAGGCAAACCAAAATGCAACAAGCACGATAGTTTTTGCATGCCATAGCCAAAAATACGCACATACATTCGCTGGATCGTGGAAGTGACGCAGTCGTTTCGCCCCTATCTCACATGTCTCGGCAACATCAACACATTCATCTTTAGCGAACTCATCCAATATATCCACCAAATCAAAGCGTCCCAGCGCAGCAAGTGCTTCCCCAGACTCGTGTCTCACAACAGGGGCCTTTAGTGAAAGTGGGGTGATAAGCTCAAATGTTAAACTATGCCAGAAGCATGTGTTCGTGTATGAACCACAATTGAGTCACGTAAGGCTTAAATTGACTATCAACGTATACGTATCATCCCCCTCTGCCGTGTTTGTCACTTAAACATTCAGTAGCTGTGTACAGTATCAAGTTCAATTCATAATTTTGACATCACGCAAACAATAATACATAAGATCGGCGTACAATGTATACCCACTTCTCACTTTCGTAGTTTGCCTGCGCATGTATATCTGAACAGAAAACACCCTTTTATGATTCAAAACTTTCGCACGTCGGATGTGTTGAGATCGCTTCTTTCTCGTCCACAATTAAATATATCTGCCAATACAATTTGCACCTGAACAAATTATACACTATCCGAACAATGCATCTAGATAGTGTAGTCATACGCACATTGACACCATAAAGACATTTTTGACCCTTACATGGAGATCCACAAAATGAAAAAACACACATTAACACACACATCATAGATAAAAAAGAAAACACCCCTAGTACGAGACACATACGTATCAAGCAGTACGTTTGAGTATAAAATACATGTATCTTCTTCCCAAGTTTATGTATACCGGAATAATTTTGTATTACACCTTTGATACATTCATACCTACAGTATCTGATAAGTAGTATTTGAGAGGTTTATACGAAGGTGGATCCATCTGTATATACCAAGTGGGACATAAAGATACGGAGTGGACTGAAAATATACTACTTTCTAAACTGGGACATAGTGAAAGACACTAGGATGTATTTCCTTGTCACAGAAATGAAGTGATATATATATATAAATATATATATATATATATATATAATATATATATATATATATATATATAATATATATATATATATATAATAACACACATA